CTAACATAATATTACACACAATAATACATTAATATAATATTACACAAAATAATACATTAACATAATATTACACAAAATAATACACTAACATAATATAACACACAATAATACACTAACATAATATTACACACAATAATACATTAATATAATATTACACAAAATAATACACTAACATAATATTACACAAAATAATACACTAATATAATATTACACAAAATAATACACTAACATAATATTACACAAAATAATACACTAACATAATATTACACAAAATAATACATTAACGTAATATTACACAAAATAATACATTAACGTAATATTACACAAAATAATACATTAATATAATATTACACAAAATAATACACTAACATAATATTACACAAAATAATACACTAACATAATATTACACAAAATAATACACTAACATAACACAAAATAATACACTAACGTAATATTACACAAAATAATACACTAACATAATATAACACAAAATAATACACTAACGTAATATTACACAAAATAATACACTAACATAATATTACACAAAATAATACACTAACGTAATATTACACAAAATAATACACTAACGTAATATTACACACAATAATACATTAACGTAATATTACACACAATAATACATTAACATAATATTACACACAATAATACATTAACATAATATTATACACAATAATACATTAATATAATATTGCACAAAATAATTAACTAAACATTAAAAACCCCGACTAATTTCAATAGGTCAAGCTTGTCATTTTAAGCGGACAAATTAAAATTTTTCAGGTCACTATGTATAGATACATATGACCACAATGTATTATACAGTCAGGTTCAAATCCTTGCAGAAATTTAAATGTTCACTAACTATTTATATATATATAAAAACACTTTCCATTTCATTATTATGTTTTCTCTATTTTTAAATATTTCTATCGACTTTTTGATGGCCGAGTCAGCTGACTTGGAGAACAGAGAGCCAATTCTCAAAATTCCGTGTCAAACTCTAGGTACAGGCCGAGTCAGCTGACCTGGAGAACAGACAGTCAATACTCAAATTTCCGTGTCAAACTCTAGATACAGGCCGAGTCAGCTAACTTGGAGAAGAGACAGTCAATACTCAAATTTCCGTGTCAAACTCTAGATACAGGCCGAGTTAGCTAACTTGGAGAACAAACAGCCAATACTCAAATTTCCGTGTCAAACTCTAGATACAGGCCAAGTCAGCTGACTTGGAGAACAGACAGCCAATACTCAAATTTCCGTGTCAAACTCTAGGTACAGGCCGAGTCAGCTAACTTGGAGAAGAGACAGTCAATACTCAAATTTCCGTGTCAAACTCTAGGTACAGGCCGAGTCAGCTGACAGTAAGACTTGGAGAACACCATCTGTATTCTGACCAAGATTTTGCTGCTCCACGTGACTATGAAGTTCGGAGTTCAGTTCAGCACCCACAGTTCTTGAGAAACGGATTTTACAACGACATTGGTCTCATCAAGTTGGAGGAACAGGTTCAGTACGATACATTCGTAGATCCTGTTTGTTTACCAGACTCAGAAGAGTTCCGTCCTGTCGCCTTGATTGGACAGATTGGGACTGTGTTGGGCTGGGGAACCACATCTTATGGTAAGTATTCAGTACGTATATCAATCAATAAAAAGGTAATATTTTGGAAGAAAGCCATTATTATTTTATCGCACTTTAGATTCTGATAATTTGAATATGTTTCGTAAAACAGTGGTTCCAAACTACAGGTACACGGAGCCCTAGAAACATTCAGCGGACTAGAGAGGTTTAGTACATTGTATTAAAATGATTTCAGAACCTCTGCACGTTGTTACAGTCCATGTCACCACGTCCGGCCATGTGCTTTCTGACGACCGTGCATCTTGACAATAGTCTTGTATTATAATTTCCATTGCAAAAGGCGGTCATGTTATAAGAACACTTCTGTTTCCTGCATGCTTTCCATAATCCATCTAAAACACAAGGACGACGGTTTGTAGTGCTTGTTTCAATAGCCCGATCACACAGAAATCTATAGGTGCTGCATCCAGTGACTTGGCCGATGTGTATTCGTATGGAATAGTATGAATACTCGTTTCATTCTGCATCTGCTGCAGATATTTAATGGTTGAATGGTTATGTTGTGGAACCAACTCGTGTATACGTGACTTGTGTTGCTTCTCCAGCCGGAGATCCTTCTTGATTATGTTGCGTATTGTAACCAAGGGTATGTGGACGTCTTTTGCTACTGACCTTTATATTCGTGGATTCTCACCTGTTACAATACGCCACGTTTTGCTTGCTGCAAAAGGGGAACGAGTTACTGCCAGTCTTTTTCCTGGATAGTCGTGGTATACCAGTTTTATCTATATTCCTTTGTTTTCCAATGCCATAAAGTGCAAGGGATATCTCCCATCTTATAAATTTTAAATCCACAATATGAACACATCCCGAGTGTATGAATACTTTGCTCCGGAAATTACTGTTACATACATCTTTCAACAGTGATTAAGTTTTGTGGTTTTACACCACCCACGTAACATCATACAATATCCAAATGTAGTTCTGATTCATTCCGTTCCACCTCGACTTTCACGTGACTTGCTAGTTTGCATATTGAAAATATTTTCAATAGAATGTACCTAATCCTCTGTATAATCCTTTCAAAGTAGTTTTCACAACCTTACAGAAAACTATCTATGTATTTCATATTCTGTTGTAAGACTTATACACTCCAGTGGCCCTTAAGCCTTTTCAAAAGATTTTGCTAGTCCGTGGAGTGAAAAGGTTGGAAACTACTGTCGTTAAAGTTTAATCTTTTTTAGCTGAGAAAAAAAAAGGGGAGGTTATAACTTAAACGTATGTCTTAGGGATAGTTTTAGCCTACGACCTCAAACCGGTTTCACATGTGTGTGTGTGTTGTAAAATTTGGATAACTAAGCCTAAACAACCTTATAACTTGCTCTCTTTATTGGTATAAACATGCGCATCATGTGTCGTTTTTTTTTTTTGTCTTTTTGGGAATTTTTTTTCAATTTCTAATGGAAATTCTTATCAAGAGTTTCACTTCATCCATTAGCCGGAATTTAGGCTTACGACTCTTACAGTATCTATCGTGTGTACTACTTCTAACGTAATGAACTGAAGTTACTGACTCTTACAGTATCTATCTTGTGTATTACTTCTAACGTAATGAACTGAAGTTACTGACTCTTACAGTTACTAGTTCTGAAATAGTTCTATAATAATGCGATCATTTTATAAATATAGTTTATCAAGGAAATTAAGTAGTTGTAACGTTTACAACATTACTTAAATTTTGTAGTATCAATCGTAGAGATAACGTGGCATGTCTGCGGACGTACAACGCTAGAAACCGGCTTTCGATACCTGTGATGGGCAAAGCACGGATAGCCCATTGTGTAGCTTTGTGCTTAATTACAAACAAACAAACGTAGATATAATAATACATTATGGCCGAAAATAATAGGCCTCAATAGAATAAAACTACCGTAATTCCATCAGTTACTGGTTGAGTTTCTTGTGAAGTGTATATATAAAAATGGGTGATTTTAAACATTTTTGTAAGTTCTTTACACTGACTGTTGTAACAGCCAAAAACATAAGGTTTTTCAGTATATATGGATTCCTACCGCTAAAGAACGGAATACAAACAGGTTGGTAATTTGGTGGTTAAGAACTTCAAATAAAATTAGATGTTCGTGTCGCTTGACAACTGAAAATATAGATGTCTTCGTTATGCTTGTTACAACTTTGGACACTAGGCTACTTTTTTTTTAAAGCAAAATTTCCTGAGTGCTAAAATAACTTTGTTTTTAACTATTTAAATTTTTTTTTCTGATATTATGTCAAATCGCGAAAAATTATAAATATAGGTTTTTCTTCTGTACACAGGAGGGCGCAACAGTGGCTCTTTACACCAAGTTTCCATGCCAATCTGGGACAATGATGACTGCAACCGAAGATATTTTCAACAGATTACAAGCGGGTTTCTTTGCGCAGGATTTATTGAAGGGGGGAAGGACGCTTGTCAGGTGTGATAAATAAAATATATGTTAACTTTCTTTCTTTTTTCATAAAACGTTTTAATGATTAAAATTAATTCTATTTTAAAGATTTTGATAACTATTAGAATATTAAATAAACGTTACCTCCCTATATCATTGACAGGGAGACTCGGGAGGCCCTCTAATGGTCAGAAATAGAAACAGGAGATGGACTTTGGTCGGTGTGGTGTCGTTTGGAAGTCGATGTGCTCAAGCTGGGTATCCAGGGGTTTACACTCGAATTACGGAGTATATAGACTGGATAACACAAAATGTTGAGATATAACTTCTCAATAAATTTGACCTCAATTGTGTGGATATTTTTAATAATTACTATTGTTTAAAGATTTTGACTGTATATACAAGTTTTGTGCCTAAAAAAATCTATCGTTTTTCTTTCCTAAATATGTGAAAAAAGCAAAATATAATGAATATCAAGAAATGATAATATTACTTAGGAATTGGTAATAATGTTTAACACAGAAATAGATAAATTAATGAGCTTCCATTTGGTGTAACAGATAATCAGTTGTTTATATAGTTACATAGTACAAATATACCGTAGTTCTGTCTCATAATCTGGTGTAACAGACAATCAGTTGTTTATATAGTTACA